GTGTAAAAGGAATAGCTACCGAGCTTCAACTGTCACCGAGGAGGCGTGTCATGCATTTATACGAAGCCGGTGGAGATGCCGATTATCTTTTCATCTTAATAATTATTCGCACATTAATATTCCTTTTTACATCACACTTCATATATTGTTTTCAATGTTGATTTTTGTAGAAAAATATATATTAGTATAACGATTTAGTCATCGCTTTACATTATTGACAGCCAAGGAATAAATAGCGACTTGGCAACTCAACCCCCTCGTTGCACCACCTTTACTTGCTCTGACTTGCCAAAACCAGGAAAATCTTGCGTTTTAAAGACAAGCGGAAAGTGTTGGTCATAATGATAATGACAATAATAATAAAGATAGCAACAACGATGATAATAATTATGATAATGATGACAATAATGATAATGATAATGACAATAACAACAATGATGGTAATAACAATAAAAATAATGAAAATAAAGATAATAATGATAGCTATAGTATTAATAATAATCAAGAAAATGGTAACAATACGATGATGATAATGATAATGAAAATTATGACGATAATAAAAATGACAATAATAATAGTAATAATAATAATAACGGTAATGATAATGATAATCTTACTATATTTAATAAAAAAAATAATAAATAAATAAAAAATCTTAAATGTCTGCATATGCAATCAAGTTTCCTTAAAACAATGGTAGTGATAAAACAATTACGATCATGATAATTATATTTTATCATTATTGTTATTGCTTAAATTGTTAATATTATGATTATTACTATTATTATTATTATTATTATCATTAGCATTGTCATTACTACTACCATCATTTTTATAACTGTTGTGATTGCTATTATCAGTATCATTATCATCATTATTGTTATTAACGTTGTCATTGATATTATCATTATTACTATTATCATCATCATTATTGTCGTTCCTATCATCAATAAGATTATTATCAGCTTTATCGTTATTATCATAATTGTTCTTATAGTTATTATGATTATCATTGTTATTAGTCATCGTTTTTATCATTATCGTTACTATTATTATTATTATTATTATCCTTATTGTTATTACTATCGTTATTACCATTATTGTTATCATTAATTTTATCATTTTTGTTAATCATGTTATCATAATTTTATCTTTACTATTGCAATAATGATAACAATGATAAGGATAATCATCATCATCATATTATCATAACTCTGAGGAAAGAGATACGAGTAGTACTATCTTTCATCTTTTAATAAACATTTTAAGGGCATATGTGAAGTAATTATCGTGCATTGTTTTGTTTTGTTTTTCTTTGAATATTGTTCAATAATGTATGCTTAGCCTATTCGTGCAAAAATATTTTCGAAGAGACCCATCTGGTATCCCCCAAAATCCCAAAGCAACGCGAAGATGCAAAATCCGGCGGTCTTCGGCAATCCCCGGGTTGTGACGTCATAACCAGGACCAGGGAGAACCTTGCACCCCCGAGTCAAGAATATCATGGAATTGTCCCAGTTTCAAGCTATCAAAGTTTGTAACTAAGGATGCCGCGGCGTTGTGTAGTAATTGATTGTTCCCATTCATGTCACCAGCTATTTGAATGGCCGAAAGACCGCGACAGAGCAAGGAAGTGGACACGTTTTGTGCTTGGGAGCAACTTTCAGCCTGTGCCAACTAGCGTACTTTCCCTGAAACACTTCGAGTCCGATTGTTTTGCGAACAGAATGGCTTACGACATGGGATTTGCAAAACGGTAGGCCGTTTCCAAATTATATTTGTCATGATCACAACAGCGCAAAACAAACTCTGAAAGAGCGCTTTTGCTTGGCGGCGTAGCAAGCATTCATTGCGTGGGTACGACACAGTGTGCCGAGTGCATTGCAAGTGTGCATGTATTACTACACAGAGGTAAGGTAGGTACACCCCAAAAAGCACAACGGAAATAAATACCGATGCCCCTCCACTCGCGAATGGATGTAGGCCTACGCCACGGGTGCAGACAAGAGATGGTTCAGCCTGCAGAAATTGTGTACCATACAGAAGCGGGATCACACGTTCGACTATAAAAAATAATTTAGAAAATTACCATTCATTCAATCTCTTCGGGTCTCGACGCCACTCCATATCTGGCTGGTTTGGCACAACTTCAACGACATCCACAGCGGTCCAACAGCCATCAACCCTTGATATTCCTCTTCTTCCAACTCTTCGAAGATTTAGGCACCCTCTGAAGAACTTATACCAATGTCCTCGTCGGAATAATCCGATGAAACTTCACTGCCGCTGTAGTCTTGTAGTGAGTCCGCCATGTACAATGTATTGAATGCAGAGAATGCTGTGATCGTGTTCTGGAACTGACGTCACACATCCGGGTTCCGGATTTTCGCGGGAAAATATAACTTGACTTCGGAAAATCGAAATAAATCAATTTTGGGGAATTATTTTCAGATTTCCTTTTTTTACTCTTATTAGTGAGATGGGTTGCGAGCTACTTCTCCCTTTTAAAGATTTTCAGTTTTGTTACTTCACATAAGCCATTTAAGCGTATTTTCACTTTTTCCATACTGCATCCAGATCGTACAGAATACCATCATATTTAATTAGATAAACGAATTGTTTTGCTATCTACTCGAAATTTACGCTTATCAGAATTTGGTGTGACGTCACTACATAGTATAATGATTCGCTAAATTTGTTGTGACGTCACTACATAGTATAATGATTCGCTAGCCTTCTGATTGAGTAATGTAAGTCGTTTTTTATTTTTTTTTTTTTTTTTTTTTTTTTTACAGCTGTGATCTATCGAATGAAATAATGGTGATCATAATTGAATGTGGTATTCGAAGTTGAGCATTATGCACTAGTAAAATGTTTGGTCAGTGATGTGATCTCTCGCACAAAGCAATTTGATAACATATTTGAAATATACTGATTTAGTATAGGCCTATGGGTAATCAACAGCGTAAATTGCAGATTCAACGAACACATCCACACCATCTACATTCTTATTTTGTTAAAGAATACAGCATACACCGATCGGTTAAGAAGGTTAAGAAGCCTGAGGAATATTGGCTCATCTTTAACCAAAAATCATGTTTTCTATACATATATTATCATTATTATTATGATGAAATTATAGAAAAAAAAACAAAAATTCCTTTTCCTCTGTAATGACAATTATCACCATCATTATCAGTATCACTGTTATTTATTATTATTATGATTATTGTTGTTAGTGTTATTATTGTCGCTATTAGTATCAATATTATTGCGAGTAAGGCTCGAGTGGAGCTAATATTAGTTACCCCTTCATTAGTAAGAATCTTCTTTGTTATTCACCATAAAAGAAAATTGAAATGGGTAACTAAAGTATTTGAGTTCCCTCTCTCTTTTGTTTTTTCTTTGTAATTGTATAGTTGGGTGGAATTTTGGCCTTTAAACGCTTGATTGTTATGATAACTCGAAAGTGAAAATGTCTATATACACCTGAATAGATCGGCTGTAATTGTATGCCAGGTGAGTGTAGCCAGCAAGAAAAATCCACCAGCTTTCTGCACATTTTTCGTCTGCTCTATCTTCGTTTAATGCTAAATCGGGATAGAAACTCCAGTATCGTGTATTGCTTGTGAAGCTCCAATTGGTTTCTCTCTCTCTCTCTCTCTCTCTCTCTCTCTCTCTCTCTCTCTCTCTCTCTCTCTCTCTCTCTCTCTCTCTCTCTCTCTCTCCTCTCTCTCTCTCTTCCTCTCTCTCTCTCTCTCTCTCTCTCTCTCTCTCTCTCTCTCTCTCTCTCTCTCTCTCTCTCTCTCAAAACTAGTCTAAGTTGACAGTTCCGACAGCGGTAAGGAATAAATTGGAAATAAAACAATATAATCAGAGTGAAAAAAAATATATGTACCCCATGTAGTGTCGTGGTAAAAAATATATGTACCCTATGTAGTGCAGAAGAGAAACAGCCATGAGAGTTAGTTAGTGCCGTATAAAAGATATATGTACCCCATGTAGTGTCGGTAAAAAATACCCCATGTAGCGTCGTGGTAAAAAATATATGTACCCATGTTTACATCATGGTGGCTGGAGTGCCTGTTGGCAATCCGACCACTACGGTAAGCATACA